GCATGGAATCACTAGGTTGTAGGATATACTTGCTTTGGCAGCACATAGACTAAAATCGGAAGGCTACAGAGAGGAAATATGCACCTTATCCTGTGATACTGGCAAATTGCTCTCAAAGTGATTATACCTACTTACACTCCCACCTGTAGTAGATTAAAGTTCCATTTCTGTTCTTTTTTTTTTTTTTTAAAGATTTTATTTATTTATGTGACAGAGAGAGACACAGCGAGAGAGGGAACTCCCTGGGGGAGTGGGAGACAAGCAGGGGGAGTGAGAGACAAGCAGAGGGAGTGGGAGAGGGAGAAGCAGACTCCCCGCTGAGCAGAGAGCCCGATGCAGGGCTCGATCCCAAGACCCTGGGATCATGACCTGAGCCGAAGGCAGACGCTTAACGACTGAGCCACCCAGGTGCCCCTAAAGTTCCATTTCTGTACATTCTCCACAACACTTCATAATGTCACTTTAAAATTTTGCCAGTCTGGGGGCGCCTGGGTGGCTCAGTCGGTTAAGCGTCTGCCTTTGGCTCAGGTCATGATCCCAGGGTCCTGGGATCGAGCCCCGCATCGGGCTCCCTGCTCCGCGGGAAGCCTGCTTCTCCCTCTCCCACTCCCCCTACTTGTGTTCCCTCTCTCGCTGTGTCTCTCTCTGTCAAATAAATAAATAAAATCTTTAAAAAAAAAAAATTTTGCCAGTCTGGTGGGATTGAAATGATATTGCAATGTGGCCTAAATTTGCCATTTCCATATGAGTGAAATGATTGGCTATTAAATTACCTCTTTAAATTGCTGAATCCTATTTTACCAGTTTTTTTGTTTGGTTTTTAGTTTGTTTCCCTCCCCTTATTTATTTAAAGGAATTCCTAAAATATCTTGGGTTCCAATCTTTTTTATTAGATACTATTTTCTCCCACTTGGTAGCTTATCTTTTAACTATGTTTAAAGTTTTTCTTTATAGTTCACTATTATATCATATTTAGCAAATCCTTATCTAGCTGGAGGTCATAAAAATAACATTTTGTTTTAAAAGCTTTGCTTTTTAGCAACTGAGCCTGCCAGTTCTCAGCCACAGAGGCCAGCCCACCAGGCTTGAGGCTAAAGTTCCAGCCAGTGTGAATCTTTCCTTAACTAAAGCAGCCTTCTGGACAATTTCCCCCGCAAACGTAGCTTAGGGTGGCCAGTTGAGGACTTGGGACCTGACAGCAGATCCCATCATCAAATCTCAACAGGCTTCCCCCAGGCGCCCTATACTTCTTTTAGAGTGTTTACTTCTTTATAGGGTGTTCATCATCATTTTTTGGTTTATAGATCTATTTCCTTTGCTAGAATCTACACTCCTTGATTGAAAGGACGATGCTTTATCCATTTTCATATCCGTGGTGTCCAGGACATAATTAGTGTTCAGTACGTATTTTCTAATTAAAAAAAAGTTTTGCTTTTTACACCCAGATTTTATGTATGTTGTGAGCCAGGAACATAATTGTTTGCATAAAGATAACCAGTATCTCAGAACCATAGAGGTAAATAAAAATTATTTTCTCCATTTATAAAAGACAAAGAGATCATTTTCCCCTTCCCTTCTTTCTTAAAGAGTGTTTCCTTAGAGACATAGTGAGTCTGAGTTCTTACCCTAACTTTTGCAACAGAGGCAAATTTCCCTAAGTATTAAAACCCAGTCTCCAGTTGTTATACTATAGCTATATATTTAAGGTCACTGCCAAAGAACCTCTAGATGTGTAAAAACGTGCCTCTGGAATTAGCTCAGAGTCTCTCACAGGATGTACGGGGATTGCCACAAGGTGCAAACCTCTGTTTTTTGAGGAGATAAGAAGTTATTCTTGCTTGTTTCCTGTATAAAATGTGTGCGATTCTGTTCTAACTTCAGAGTCACTTTCAAAAGGCTTGTAAATCTGCTAATGCTCACTCAGTAATATAGTGTGTTCTCTTGTCTGTATCAGTACAGAGGGATCTTCTGTTGGCAAGATCGCTGCCTTTCCACAGTGGAACTGCCCAGTCTCACTGATGTGTAGACACCCCTTAAGTCTTCGTGTTCCCACATACACATAGGGCTGTTTCTGGGCTTTCTCTTGTTTCGTTGCTCTATTTACCTATCTTTGCATCAGTTTCATACTGTCTCAATTAAGATGACTTTTTAATCAAACCTAATACCTAACACAATTAAGTCCCCTTACCCAACTTGTTCTTCAAAATTGTCTTGACTATTCTTGGCCCTTTACCATTCCTATAAATTTTAGAATCTGCTTGTTAAGTTCTGCAAAAATCTTTGAAATTTTGGTTGGAATTACACTGAATTTATTTATTATTTTGGGAGACCGGACATCTGAAAAATATTGTTTTCCCCTCCATAAATGTTGAATTATCTCTCTAGTTATTCAGGGTTTCTTTGATGTCCTTCCAGACCTTTATAAAGAAAATAATAAAATATTGTTATATATCTTATCTTAGATATATTCCTAAGTACCTTATAGGTTTTATGCTATTGTGGTTTTTGGAAAAATTACTTTTTCTAGTTATTTTTGATGTGTAGAAATGCTGTGGATTGTTTTATGTTGATCTTGTATCCAGCAACTTTGCTGAGCTTTTTATAGGTATAATCATTTGGAGTTGACATTCTTTGGTTTTCTAGGTAAACATGTTTTTATCTCTTCCTTCTTAATTCCTATATAGCAATGAAAGGCTTTTCTCCATTTTTTCTCTTTTTTTTCCTCTTTTTTTCTCCTTCATTTAAAAAAAATTTTTGAAAGTAATCTCTACACCCAATGTGGGGCTTGAACTCACAACTCCAAGAACAAGAGTCACATGCTCTACAGACTGAGCCAGCCAGGCACCCCAAGGCTTTTTTCCTTTAATTCATTACTTTGCTAGATGCCTAGAACAGTGCTTAGCCCATGGTAAACTCAATACAAAGATTTTAAATTACTATGATGGATTAATCTATTTTCTTCCCTGCCCTCCTGGGATAAACCATACTTGGTCATAAGGTATTAATTTTTATATGATTCTGAGTTTGATCTGCTATTTATTTAAATTTTTGCATTTATTTTCATAAACAAGATCAGTCCATACTTTCATCCTCTGATATGAATCTTGAATGTTTTGGGTGTTAAGGTTATATTAATCTCAACAATGCATTGAGCAGCTTTCTCTGTTATTCTATTATTTGAAGAGTTTGTAATAAGATGAGGACTATCTGTTCCTCCAGTGCTTGGTAAAACCTCTGAAACCATCCAGGCCTGGTGTCTATTTGACGGAAATATGTTCAACTCTGATTTAATTTCTTTAATAGTTATGCTTTTTTGGGTTTTCTATACCTTCTCCAGTCAATCTTGGTATCTTAGTTTTCTAAGAAATTGTCCATTTCAACTACAATTTCTAATTTACTTTCACTGAAGGTATTCAGAAAACTCCACCCCAAAAATTGCCACTCTGGCATACTGATTTTAAGTTTAAAAACTTAACTTAAAAAAACAGCAATGCAAAAAGGGCATTCTAACTTTCCTTTCCTTTTTTCCTTTTTTAAGATTTTATTTGACAGAGACACAGCAAGAGAGGAAACACAAGCAGGGGGAGTGGGAGAGGGAGAAGCAGGCTTCCCGCTGAGCAGGGAGCCCGATGTGGGGCTCGATCCCAGGACCCTGAGATCATGACACGAGCGAAGGCAGACGCCCAAGACTGAGCCACCCAGGCGCCCCGCTTTCTAACTTCCTAAAAGCAGGAGATAAACTCTTAAGTAAAAGGTGCCCTCCCTGCACTTGGAGGAAGAAAGACATTTTTATCACCAGAGGGCGGCACTTCACCCCTCCTCTGGGTGGAGTGAGATGGTGTTACTGCACTCCAGGGCAAGTTGAGGCGAAGAGAAATCTGTACAAACCAACCCCGGTTAAACTAACCCTTATCTTCCCGGTCACTTTCATGATTAACCGCCCTAGCCCAAGTCCCTTTGTCTTGTTACTTTTTCACAATTTACCACTCAGTCCAACTTTATAAGCGTTGACTCAAACTGCTCCTTTGGGTCTTCCTTTCCTTATGAAGGCTCCCATGTCAACTAAAACTTACATAGATTTGTATGCTTTTTCCCTTTTTAATGTCTTTTGTTACAGGGGCCACAGTCGAGAAACTAGAAGGGAAGAAGGAAAAGGGTTTTTTCCTCCCTTACATCACAAAATTATATAGCATTATCTGCAGTGAGGGCTTTTTTTTTTTAATTCTTCTTCTTAATAGTGTTTGAAGAGGAGGTTCCTGTGCAAAGTATCTGTTTAAAAGTTTGGATCTTGGGGCGCCTCGTTAGCTCCGCCGGTGAAGCTTGGGCTCCTGTGCAAAGTATCTGTTTAAAAGTTTGGATCTTGGGGCGCCTCGTTAGCTCCGCCTTGGGCTCAGGTCATGATCCGGGGGTCCTGGGATCGAGCCCCACATCCGGCTCCCTGCTCCTAGGGTAGCCTGCTTCTGCCTCTCCTGCTTGCAGCTCCCCCTGCTTGTGCTCTCTCCCTCTCTCTGTCAAATAAATATTTTTAATTTTTTTTAAAGTTTGGATCTAAATATTATATAAAATATTTATAAACTTACAAATACCATGTTTTGAAACTAAAAACTGTATTTGATTCATAGGTTAAAGAAAAAAAAAATCACAAAATATTTACTCCAAAAAATGGAAGTACTACTTATTATATCGGGTGGGATGTAAATTTAGCCTAAGTGCATTTATTTAAAACACACTCACGAAAAATAACTAAGCGTTCTACCCAAGAACCTAGAAAAGAAAAATCAGAGGAAACTAAACCAAAACCAAAGATGGGGGAAAAGACAAAAGCACGACGTCGGGGCGCTTTACGGCTGTCGCGCCCACGTGTCTGCGGTCATGGCGGCCGTGGAGTAGGAGAGGCTGGGAGCGGGATACTTGGTGCTGGAACCGGAGCCCAAGCCAGAGCCCAAGCCAGAGCCCAAGACAGAGAGCGGCTGCAACGAGAAGCGGGTGGTGTTTCTCTTCGTATACTGGGGCCACATCCCGCCGCTCTTCCGGCCTGTGCGCGTGCGCAACGGGCTTGGCACCACTGGCGAGGTCCGGCGACTTTTCGGTTAGCCCGTGGGTGGTGCGCGCGGCGCAGGGAGAGGAACTTCAGGAAGAAACGGCCCACGTAGAATAAGGAATACGCCCAGGGGAGGGGCCGTGGTCGCCCGCGAGCGCTGGCCTTTTCCGGGAAGGCTTGGAGGAAGTGCATGCACCTGCTCGGCGTGGCCTGGGAGCTCGCCAGAGTCCAGCCTCTGCCCCGGAGTCCTAGGGACGCGTTTGGGTGGCCGGACAGGGCCCCGAGCGCCCAGCACCGGCCTGGCCTACTAACGCCTGCCCTTCATAGAGCTGCGGGGAAATTGTCGTTTTTTGATTGATCAGTTTCTGATGCGGGTAGGTTAAAAATCTTACGCTATTGTCGAGATTATGTCAGATTTTTTTCTTACGATTTTGCAGTATATCACTTGGGGTTATATTTTCAGATACGCACAAGTATCCTTCTGTCCACACCCGGGGTTGGAGTGAGGCACTAGCCTTGCAGGCAGTTTTTTGTTTTTGTTTTTTTAAGATTTTATTTATTTGAGATAGAACGCGCGTGAGAGAGAGCATGAGCAGGAGGTAGGGGCAGAGGGAGAGGGAGAAGCAGGCTCCCCACTGAGCAGGGAGCCCACTGGCAGGATCCCAGGACCCCAGGATCCTGACCTGAACTGAAGGCAGACTCGTTTGTTTGACAGAGAGAGACACACCGAAAGAGGGAACACAAGCAGGGGGAGTGGGAGAGGGAGAAGCAGGCTTCCCGCCGAGCAGGGAGCCCGATGCGGGGCTGATCCCAGGATCCTGGGATCATGACCTGAGCCGCAGGCAGACGCTGAACGACTGAGTCACCCAGGTGCACCAGGGGCAAAATTTAAATGGGTGCCCAAAAAACTCAGTAATTGAGATTAAATAATATTTTTAGGCAATACTTTTAAAAATAAAAGTTTATACAAAAAAGTTTGTGATGAATAAAATACAGTTGACCCTTGAACAACATGGGTTTAGAATGTGTGGGCCCACCTATAAGGGATTTCTTTTTTTTTTTTTTTTTAAGATTTTATTTATTTGAGATAGAACGCGCGTGAGAGAGAGCATGAGCAGGAGGTAGGGGCAGAGGGAGAGGGAGAAGCAGGCTCCCCACTGAGCAGGGAGCCCGATGCGGGGCTCGATCCCAGGACGCTGTGATCATGACCTGAGCCGAAGGCAGATGCTCAATGACTGAGCCACCCAGGCACCCAAGGGATTTCTTTTTGATAAATAGTGACCTAGATATATTTGCCTCATGATTTTAACATTTTCTTTGGCTTACTTTAAGAACATAGTATATAATACATGTAGCATACAAAATACGTATTTATCAGCTGTTTATGTTATTGGTAAGGCTTTCTGTCAATGGTAGGCTATTAAGTTTTGGGGGAGTCAAGTTATGTGGGGACTTTCCATTAGGGTAGGGTGAGGTGGGGGCCCCTAACCCTGGGATGTTCAAGGATCAACCTTACTACAATTTTATTTTTTTATTTTTTTAAAGATTTTATTTATTTATTTGACAGAGAGAGAGATAGCGAGAGAAGGAACACAAGCAGGGAGAGTGGGAGAGGGAGAAGCAGGCTTCCCCTGGAGCAGGGAGCCCGATGCAAGGCTTGATCCAAGGACACTGGGATCATGACCTGAGCCAAAGGCAGACGCTCAATGACTGAGCCACCCAGGCACCCCTGAACTAATACTTTTTATCCTTCTGTAACATTCCTCTAGTCCTATTGCAAGTTTTTGCCTAAATTCTACTTTTCTGATATTAATACTGTGACACTAACCTTTTGGTTAAATTTACTTACCCACCTTATTTTGTGTTTTTATCATTTTTTCCTCCTTTCCTTCATTGGATTGATGATTTTTCTACATTTCCTTTATTTTATTTTTTACTGAAAATTTAGCCTGGATTAGGTTAAGGAAAAACTCCCTTGGGAAAATATCAGCACCATCTCACAAAAGTTTTTGAGTTTGAATCATTTGAGTAAATTTATTATTTTACTAATGAAAGTGATTACCAGCTCAATAAAATTCCATAAGCATTTGTGGAGTGCCTACCTTGTGTCTTTCATTGTTCTAGGCACTAAATACACAAAAATTAGTCAAAGTACCTGCCCTCAGGATGCCTCCAAAAGCAGATGTTTGTCTCACATTAATCTTTCAGGGCCTCCTTGCCGCATGTGACATTGGTACCCAGTCCTTCCTGGGAATTTTCCATATCCCTGGTTGACAAGACACTAATCTCTCCTAATTTTCCTAATACTGAGAAATTACGTTCTCTGCTCTTGAACGCCTCCTCCTTTGCCCTCTCCTCGATAGTTAGCATTCCTCAAAGTTCCATCCTTGACCTTCCACTCTTCTTTCCATTCACATCTTCTCATGCTTTGAATTACTACCTGTGTCAGTAACTTTAAGATATCTCTGTCTGCTTTAGCCTCTACCCCAATAATTCTGACATATATTCAACTGCTGTTGAACATACACTTGAATATTCCACAGACCCCCCAACTTAATAAATCCCAAACTGAAGGCATTATTTCTTACCACTGAAAATCTGTTCCTTTCCTTTTCTCATCTCACATAATGGTCATTTACTGCTACCCAGAAACCCATGTGTCATTCCATCCTCCTTCTGTACTCCCCACAGCCAGTCACAAACTCTGTATATTTTACTCTGACATTTCTCAGATTTGTCTCCCCCCTTTTCATCCCTGTTAACTAATGACCAAGTTCAAGATGTCATTAATTGTCTCCTTTTTCCCAGTCTTGCTGTTTTCTTATGTGAATCTCTGGTCCCACAGCATCCTGTGCTTTCCTGTCATTACCATATATAAAATTAAGAGTTTCTGACTGTGTCTTTTGACTGTGAGCTCCCTCAGTGTATATTTGTACCCACACCACATAGCATAGTACCTGGTATTAATGCTAAATAAATGTCTCTTGAGCTGAACTAAGCTCTTTTGTCTTAATTTCATTGTATCTTGTTTTAAGGCTTTTAATGCTATTAAAATAATTTTCCTTTTCTTTTTTTAGGAAATAAGATTACCTATATTTGATCAAGGTCTTATGTCCCAAATGTCCTTAAATCACACATGCTTTTCAGAAACATTATTCCTCCACCATCACTCAAGTAATTAGGGGTCAACTCAATATGATAAATAATTTGTCCATTATATTTAATAATTTGATAATATAATTAATTTAATAATCCAATATAATTAATAATTTAATAATTATATATAATAATAAAGATATTGGTATCTCAATTAAAAGTATTACTGTTTGTCTTATTAAAGTGTTATTGCTATTGATTCTGTTGGTTTTGAGTTTTGTTATTGTAATATTTCCAGTATTCAGAGAGTTGGGTGGGTCATTTGCCACGAATGTCTGTCCCTGATTTTGTTCTGTCTGTGATCCAATTTTGTATCAAGGCTTTAAAAATTTCCTGCTCAAGATCTGTTAAGATTAATGCTAAAACACTGCACATCAAATTCATGATATAAAAATTAGATTCAGGGTTTTAAGGAAATGATCCTGTTATTACAGAGCGATGAACCAGCTTCCCCTCTTACTGAGCTGTGTAGTCTCTTGCTGCTCGAAGTGTGATTCCCAGAGCTGCAGCAGTGGCATCGTTTGAGGGCTTCTTAGAAATGCAGTTTGAAAAACACTGGTATAAAGAACGCTTTATAGAACATAGTAAAACAGAAACAAAGCAAAGGTTTATGCTACTATTGGAGAAAGGATTCCCAGGATAAAGATAAAAACAGTAAGAAAGATTCACTTGCCTGCTATCAGCATCTCAAGTTTGTGAGTGCCATTTAAGAAGGCCAATACGTAAATAAAGATAATGTTTTGAATGTGTTTAGTTAAGGTTACATTTCCCTGTTCTAGTGGACTTCACACTTTACGGAGCCACATCACACTATGGATGCCTACAGATGAAGGTGTCCACTGCTAACATCGAGGAAGCAGGAAGGACTCACCAAGCAATGATGCATGAAATTGCTATGCCCAATTAATATCCTCGCAGATACTTTTTGGAACCATGGGATAATGTTTGGTAATGAAGAGTGAATGAGGCTTTTTCTTTACCTTAATGTGAAGACATTTGGTCATTAGTACTTCTCACAGCATGGACACTTGGAGTGGTCAGGAGTAGTCCTGAAGGGGATGGGGATAATTTTGTGCCAGAGGGACATGCTGAAAGGCATTACTGCACAGTAGTAAAGCATATGGAGACAACCAACCAGATTCAGTTCCTGGCTTTACCACTTACTAGCTTATGTTGGATGAGTTACTTAATTCTGTCTGTTTCTTTATCTGTAATATGGGGGTGGTAATAGCACCTACCTCATAGGCGTGTTATGAAGATTGCATGGCTTTATATACTTAAGTGCTTAGAACAAAGTGACAAATAGTAAACAATCATTAGAAACAAGGGGCGCCTGGGTGGCTCAGTCGTTGAGCGTCTGCCTTCGGCCCAGGGTCTTGGGATCGAGCCCTGCATCAGGCTCCTTGCTCAGCAGGGAGCCTGCTTCTCCTCTCCCTCTCCCTGCCGCTCCCCCTGCTTGTGCACTCTCTCTGTCAAATAAATAAATAAAATCTTTAAAAATAATAATAATAATTAGAAACAAAACTGCATTGCCTGCCCCATAGTAGGTATCCAGGTGTCAATATTAAGTGTTTGTAAAATGTGCCCATTGTCCATTTACTGCCCCTCAGCTTCAAATTCATCCTTAATTGCTAGTTCTGTGGAAGTAACATGAGCCCTTTAAATATCTTCCCTTCACCAGCTGGCCTGATGTTAAGTTTCGTCATGGAGGACACTGGAACGCATTGCAGCGAGAAGGGGTTCTCCTTCCAGGCTGCAGGTGCTCCTCCCCGGGGGGTTCATGCCAGCCCCACTCCCGCCGGGCTGCAGCTTCTCTGGCCCCCACTCCGGTAGCTCAGGACAGCTAGCAGCACCCGCCCAGGCAGTTTGGTGGCAGAATGTCTCCAGCGGGACACCTCCCCGTGAAGAACTTGCCCCCTGCACACTGGAGGGCAGACCAAGGGATTTCTTGGCCATTCGGTGAGCCGCAGCTGTGCCCTCTCCAACACGGTCTGAATCTCAGCTGGGCAGGGAAGGGGGACAGGATCTCTTCCCTTGAAAACTCCACTTCAGCTCTACCAATATCAGCCCTACCCATCCCTATACTCTTTAGAGTTCTGTTTACCTCCTTCTAGCCTATGTCTTGTTATAGTTAATAATTTGATATATTAAACTTACCCTGTTCAAATTTTTTATCAGGTTTCTGTCTCTTAATAAGACTCTCGCTGATAATGAATGAATAAATGGAACTTCAATATTCCAAACTATTCCCAGAAGTTTGTATGTTGCCTATAAGATGAATGATCCAAATTTTTAAAAATGACTGTGTGTTAAATAGCTATACTCTTATCTATGATGAATTAAATGGAGGGGCACCTGGGTGGCTCAGTTGGTTAAGCATCTGCCTTGGGCTTGGGTCATGTTTCCAGGGTCCTGGGATTGAGTCCCTCATTGGGCTCCCTGCTCGGCTGGAAGTCTGCTTCTCCCTCTCCCTCTGCTGCTCCCCCTGCTTGTGCTCTCTCTCTCTCTCCTTCTCAAATGAATAAATAAAAATCTTTAACTGTTGAATCACAGGCCTGTACCTCTGAAACAAATAATACATTATATGTTAAAAAAAAGAAGACGATGATAGCAGGAGGGGAAGAATGAAGGGGGGAAATCGGAGGGGGAGACGAACCTTGAGAGACTATGGACTCTGAGAAACAAACTGAGGGTTCTAGAGGGGAGGGGGGTGGGGGGATGGGTTAGCCTGGTGATGGGTATTAAAGAGGGCACGTATGGAATGGAGCACTGGGTGGATGGAACACTACATCAAAAACTAATGATGTAATGTGATTAACATAACAATAAAATAAAATTAAAAAAAAAATTAAATGAAGAAAATAGTAGGTAATGTGTAGATAGTTTTCCTTTTTATGTTTTCAAAAATCTGTGTGAATGTGTGTGGGTTCATATTTGCAAATGCATAGAGAGAGTTCTGGAAGGATACAGAGAACCCAGAGGGGTTATTATCTCTGGATAGAGGAGAGGGATGAAAGGAATGGAGAAGGGGGACTTTCACATTTTTTATTCTATATTTTCTATTTTAAAAATTTACACTGAGTATTTGTTACTTTTATAATTTTTATAATTTTAGGAATTAAATTCTTTGATTTTTGTGACTTTTCATAATTTTAATTTAAAAAGTTGGTGATAGAACCTGGTGAGAGGAAAGGGAAGGAAACAGACTATTATTTTTTTTAAATATTTTATTTACTTATTTGACAGAGAGAGCACACAAGCAAGGGGAGGAGCAGAGGGAGAGGGAGAAGCAGACTCCCCACTGAATGGGAAGCCTGATGTGGGGCTTGATCCCAGGACCCTGGGATCATGACCTGAGCCAAAGGCAGACACTTAACCTACTGAGCCACCCAGGCGCCCTGGAAACTATTATTGAGCACGTCCTCTATGCCAAACACTTTCCTTATGTTATTTCATTTAATCATGAAAATAACTAGGTAAGAGAGGCATTATTATTCCTGTTTTACCATTAAGAAAATGGGCTCAGAGCGATTAAGTAATTTCTTAAGTTCATGTATTTAGAATTTTGACTGGGCTTTTTGGAGTCCAAAGTGACTCTTCCCAGTCTTGCCAGTGTTTCTCAAACTGGGTTTCATAGGAGGGGGCCTCTGGGTGTGTTCTCAGGGTTCATGAGCTCTACAGACAATTCCTAAATCTTAGTATGTCATCTCAATCATAATCTTTAAATAGACATGTTCTGGATCTTCTGGAAGACCATCTTAAAAGAGTACTTTCAGGACATTTAAATTTTGCTTGTTATGCTAGTGTTGTTATCAAGTGAGACCCTACCTTAATTGTCCTAGGTCAGTCAGAAAAGAACAGACTGGAATTTCAAAACACATTCATGCTAAGGGAGGACTCAGTTATATCATTGTGGTTCAAACAAAAAAGTTGTGGGGATAAAGCACTTCTCATTCTGAACACGGTAGTATATGCACATAAAACTCAAAATTTGCATCTTAAGAATCAGTGCTATATTCATGTTTGGAATGATGATGTGAGTTTTGGCCAAACATTAACTATTAATTTAAATTAATATTATTATATTGACATATTCTTGGCTTTGTAGTTGTGTTTTTATGTAAAATTTAAATTTATTTGGGCATTCATAACTGGTTTCATGTTTATATATCAAGTAACATAGTAAAATAATATAAAGGTCATCATTGAGAGTAAAAATGTTTTCCTTTAAAGGGGCCCATATATGACTCAGATTTGAGAAGACTGCTGTTATATCATTCTGCTTCTCCAGACATAGAAAGGACATTTAAAAAACCCCTGGGGGCGCCTGGGTGGCTCAGTCAGTTGAATGGGTGACTCCTGGCTTTGGCTCAGGTCATGATCCCGGGGTCCTGGGATTGAGCCCCAGTCGGGGCTCCCTGCTCAGCGGGGATTCTGCTTCTCCCTCTCCCTCTGCCTACCCCCTGCTCATTCTCTCTCTCTCTCTCAAATAAATAAATAAAATCTTAAAAAAAAAAAAAAAAAAAGATGCCAGCAGCAAGTCCCTAGCAAGAGTCTGTGTAAGGAGGAGCCATCCTACTCTGAGAAAATAGGTTGTCAGAAAGAAGTCCGTTTGGGTTCTGAAGCAAAATCTGCCAGCTTGCATCTGCCGGACACAAGCGGAGCCTTAGTCTCCATGTACAGAGTAAAAACGCCAGGCCCACAAAGCCCCAGACTGCGGCTTTGAATCATCTGGCTCAGGGCCACTGAGGATGGATGATAGACATTTTTATGGACTCAGCATTGAGTTCTGGGAGCCAGCAGCCACGTCAGCAGCTAGAGAGCTTGCCCTCCTACCTTTGGGTGAAATCCAAGCCTTTTAATTACAGGTAAGTCAACTGCTTCCTGATTTATGCACAACACTTAGGGAATGCCAATTACTGAGCCCTAACATTAAAATGGTCATTTACGGGGGCACCTGGGTGGCTCAGTCATTAAGCGTCTGCCTTCAGCTCAAGCCATGATCCCAGGGTCCTGGGATCCAGCCCCGCATCGGGCTCCCTGCTCAGCGGGAAGCCTGCTTCTCCCTCTGCCACTCCCCCTGCTTGTGTTCCCTCTCTCGCTGCGTCTCT